AGTTGTCATCAGAGTGATTGGCAAATTATGGGAACAACTGAGAGTGTTTCAGTCAGATAAATTATGTAAGATCTGGATTAGATTCATTTGCCTTTCATGACTTTTAAACACTGGTTGAGGAGTAACAATACATTGCACCTTTCATTTTGAGAGCTCAAAGAGCTTAAATAATGTTTACGTGTCACTAAGAACAGAGAAGGAGATAACCTAGGGAGACCAAGAGACAGGACACGTGTGAACTGGCGTAGGCACCAGACAAAAAGCCCTGATGTGCAGCCTGTGTTCTCCTGACTGGGAACACTCTGTCCATTGCAGTTCCATGCTTCTAAGGCTGAAGAAGAGAGAAGGAAATTTCAGGTGATCACAAATAATAGGAACTCTGTTCCAAAGTAGTCAGGTAACCCAAGAAAGGTGAATATGTGTGAAGACAGAGACTGGAAAAGACACATAAAGAATTAGGAGGAAAACTGCAATTAGTAAGAAGAGTTTTTATCAAATGCCTTTGAAAATTATGAATGAATAAACAGCAACTATATTACTATCTAATAACAGGGTATTCCTGTCACACGAGATATAACACTAGCCCTAAATATGCAAGCTCTGGATCCATATGTAGCACAGAGGCTGACTTTGATTTGGGTTGGGTTAACAAGAAGCAGTGTCCAAAAAGGAGAGAATTGTGCTGGCATTGAGAGAATTGTGCTCCTCCTATTATTCCCTGTGCTTTTGATTTGTACAGCACTATCTGGAACTGAAGTAACTAATTAAAGTCAGTTAGATACAGTGTATGCCCCGATGCAAAAGGAAGCAGGAAGACGGGTTTACTTCATAGTATTGCAAATAGTAACCTTATTTCTAAGACTCTTATTTCTAAGAGTCAGAAGATAAAAAGCTTTTGTGATGTGATGCTCGTAGATATACATATGCTTTGATCATTGTCAGAAATGGTTTGTGTAGGTGCAGGTTTGTGCAGGTGGAACTTCTGAAATACACAATATACTGAAAAACGCAAACATATCACAGGGAAAAAAAAGATACACAGCTGAATACAAGGGCAGTTCTCTGCAAAAGCTATTTCATACACAGTGTCATACAGCAATCAAGGATCCTGCCAACTCTTGAAGTGACAATAAGCTACAACAGAGACAACACAATCTGCTCATAGATTCATTTCCCTTCTTCCTAAAGCCCAGTGCTGCTTTAGAAAACAAAACTGCTATATAGTGAACTTAATCAAATGCTACTGGGCAGAAGATTTTTGTTCTTTTTTCCCCCTATTCCTACTAAGAATGGGAGCCTCCCGTGACCTAAGACTGGCAAGTACCATTGGATCCTTATGTGGTCATAGTGGGCAGATGCAGCCAAAAGAAAATGATCATCAAAATTTTACTGTTGCCACTGAAAATGACAGTATTTCCCTTTTCTAAACAGAAGAGAGAGAGAATTAGTCACAGCCAATTTCTCTTTCAAGAAAAACCTTTTTTAGTCTCAGATTCTATAGCTGTGGGGAGAGAGTTGAGCAAGTGGGAGGTTTATTATTATTTTGGTGCACCGCATTAAATGGAAGGCAGAAAAATATGCGAAATAGCTTAAACATATTCCATAGTATATTCAACAGCTTTGCCTGTCTCACAGCCCTGGGCAAAAACATACCCCTTTCCCTGCTGTTCCTTCATTTCATGCTATAATGCTTCCAATTCTCCTTTTATAAAGAATTATGTACATTATCTACCTGTTGCACAGAATCTCCTTCCTATGGCCACTCATAACCTTTGCAGATGTTGCTCCATCATTACCAGTAAAAGCTTGAGTCATTTGGCTTAGGGAGAAAATAGCATCTCGGAAAAGTGCCTCAATGATGAATTAAAAAAAAGAAGGCAAGTTTTTCTTGCTAAATACTAGCAAAAAGAATGGTGGGGAGCTGGAATAAAAACTGAAGGAAACAATATGCAGAATGAAGTTTTCTAGATTTGTTGTTTTTTTTTTTTTACTATGCTGCATAGTTTTGTCTTCATGGTTTCATTTAATCAGTCAAACACAGTTCTGTTTAGCCCATCTGCATCTCTGAATGTGTCCTCTCGACATTACCTTCTTGATGCTCCTCTAGCATTTCAGACTAATGAAACTCAAAACATCTCAGCTTTTCCTCCCCATTGCTGCTAACCACTCCTCTCTCCTATCCTCGTACAAAAAGCACTTCCCTCTCTTCTCTTAATTTACTGAACAATCACATTTTTTCTCATGCCAGGTCCTTCATGACAGTACCCTTTATGATACTTTGTAGAATCCAAATGAATGTGGAAAACACACAGATTGCTTCAGGACAACCTTGGAATTTTACAACTTCAGAACTGGTCCTTTCCCTGATGTCAAAGTATTAAGCACACCACATACTCATGGGTGTGATCCTGACGCTGGCTGACTATCTCTACTCCCACAGAGCTCACACTCTGAGCATCCTCATCATTCTCAAAGGTCAAAGACCAGGTCAGGATAAAATCCCTCACGTTGCTTCCTTAACCAAACCCTCATATTCACTGGGTTTTCCCCCACAAAACCATCTTTCTGACCATTGACATGTACTAAATGTATTAAACAAACTACAGGAAAGTATCAGGATCCTGAAACAAGAACTCTTTGAGAAAAGAGATGCACATATACAAAACGATTTAAAATAAAAATTCTTTTCTCATACACTGAGCAAAAGATGTAAAAACTATACAGCGAGAACCCCACAGCCAGCAAGCACACTGACAAGTTACTACGCATTGCCATCCCAGTGGGATTGTGCAGGCTCATGCGTGGATAACCCAAAGCACTGCTCAATAGCCTGACTTTGAATGATGAAGATTCATACCTCATAGACTTTTCTGCACAGAGACATGCTGCGTTAAATCCTGGGATGAAATATATTCCTCAAAATGAAAACATGGAAAATTCCTGCTAAATGCCAAGTCTGAAGCAGCCATGATTCAAAGGGACAACTTGAGCAGAACAGGTGCCAAGGATGTCTGTTCTCTGGATTGATTTACAAACTAAGATTCTTCTAAACCATTAGACGTTCCCCCTGTCTCATGTGAGCAGACAGTGAGTCGAGTTCAATGTACCTCATCGCCATCTGGAAACCCTACAGGCAAGGATATCTTCTCTATTCAGTTTTTGAATAGAATTAGTTTTCATCCAGCTGAAATCTTTGTTCTGAAGCTGTACAATCCCTGCTCTCCTCCTTCGTAAGTCAGGTTTATGCCTTTTCCATGTGGTTTTGATATACTCATAGAACTGGAGACCAAGGAAAAAACAGCCTAATGCCTCAAGGAAAGGACCCCCAAGACAAGAACTCACACAAAATATTATTCTCAGCATCACCAGGTACTGTGTTCTGCATTGTTGCTCTTCTTAGCTATGACCTTTCATAAATGATATCAGATGGTGTTTGCCTTATCCAATAGCCTGTACCATTGTTCAAGGCATGCATGCACACACATAACATTAATTTCTCTAGCCTATTAATAAAAGCAGAAGAAAATAACAAGGGCAAATTGGGTACAGATTTATACTGATCTATTTCTGCAGTCTACTTTCCTTTCTAAATTATATTTATGCATTTGCATTTCCAGTTTCTTTAAATATGAATATTACTGACTAATTATCTTGTTACTATGATGGACACAATCCAAAAACCTAGATAAAAGTATGACATAATTTCAGTTCTCGTTATAAATTTTGTGGCTTGAGTCGCAAGTAATCGAAGACTTTAACAAGCATGCCCAAGAAAACCTGACTGCAAATAAAGTTATCTTTATTTTATTTTCCCCATAAAGAGAAGGTTTAGCTCAGCATATTGTTGCAGAGATACACAAAACACAACGGCTTGTTTTGGGCTGCTGCCATTCAGTTTCATGCTGCATCCCCATCTAGAGTCATTAATCTTTTACCACCAAGAACACAATTAATCATGGTAATTTTTTTTTTCAGAGGAAAAAGGCAAAAATCATAGTAATTTTTATAGAAAACACTGCAAGGTACTCCATCAATAACAGTCATTTTTCTTCTCAGTACACACTAATAGATTTGCTCACTGAAACCTGCTTGTCTTTACAGTATACAAAAATGCAGTAATCTAAAATACATATAACCAATAGAAAAAACACATGAAGAAGTACTCTGCTTAGCTGTGCTGTACAAGGCAATAAATGTCCTTTTACTGAGAGCTGGACCATAAATAAAGAACAGATACCATTGAGAAAAAGGTGTTTATGTTACTTTGGAGGTTATTTTCAGGTGGAAACATTTTTCCACCTAGCTCACAACACAAAATCTTTGCCTAAACTATGATGCAAGTTTTGATTCAAAACTTACTAAACCAAAAAATCTTACCAACTTCACTGGCAGTTTTGCTTGAATTAGTGCATGTTACTTGTGGATATAAAAAAAAAAATCTATGAAAGCATGTGAATCAATGCCACCCCCTCACCCCCAGCATCACTGACATCCTAGGTCAGAAATGCCCATTGCCAGATGTATAAAAATCTCACTCTTACTGTTCTCAGCCTTTTAGGTCTGAGAACTTACTTGAGCTCAGCTCTTGTTAAGGTCAACAAGAGTTCTGCCTGAATACAAATGAGGATCCATCCACCTTCCACCCCTGCAAAATATGATATTTGCCACATGGATTCATATACATCTTCACTGTTTTCTTTAGACATTTTATAACCTAGTAATTCTTTTAAAATTAAATGTCACAAGCTTTTCTCTTTTCTTTGCTTTTAAGAGACACACAGAAGACAGCTATAGACTGCTTTTTTTTTGTTCTTTTTTTTTTTTAATTCATAAGGTAATTGGCTTTCTGGAGACCTAACTTAATTTTCCAAATTTAATTTTAAAAGATGCTCCATAATATCCATTATAGCAAATACTGTCCCGCAGATTCGATTAGCAGGCTCTCTGGACCTGCTTATTTCTGAATTGAAAGTGCAGTACAGCCTGGATAAATGAATTACCTGAGCAGCGGAACTTCTTGCTCTTGATCTGGCTGATTCGTTTGTTGGCAAGGCGACGCGGATTGCTGCATCGAGCACCGCTGGTTTCTATCGGATTATCCTGCAGGTAATCAGCCAGCCACTTCAAATGGCAGTCGCACACAAATGGATTCTGAGCTAAATGTCTGTGAGAAGGATGGGATGTTTAATCAGAAGTGACCTATGACACTGTACTCCATCACTGTTTTTCACAAATGCAAACCTGAAGAGTAGAGTAATTGAATAAGCTTCCAAAAACCCAGGCCTGGCGGAAACCACACGGAGCTGCACATGAATGGGAGAATTCTGTGAGCTATCACATTTTGTAGCTCATTAAGCCTGCTGCAAGTCCTTTCACAGAGGAAACAAAAATTAATACAGCAAAGCCTGCGTTAAAGGACACAGACCTCCTGTCTAGAAAGTCCAATGTTTTCTCCTGAGAGCTTGATATGCTACCTTTCGAGAGAAATGCATCTTTTTAGATGCACCTGACCTGAAGATCATTTTGGATCCTGATTTAAAAGAAATTTTATTGGCAAGTTTCACAAGAGGCCTTTTCACAAGAGTGAAATTGATATTTGCATATACTCATCATGTGTAATAGTATTCCCCTTACATGTATTTTCCCTGGACCAAAAAATTTTTACTTGCGAGACTGAACTGTTTATGCAAGGTAGAACTTCACTCTATCCTTCACCAAAATTTGCACGACATAGTTCCCACACAATTGGAAATAGGTATTATAGCATTGATTTTAACTGGATATTTAGACTCTGTTACTACAAGTCTGCTGGAGTATCTTAGAGAGAAACAGTATTTCTCTGCTGCTGTTATGACTCATTCTGCTTGACAAAGTTGAGCACTGTATCAGGAGAGTTTGTCAGACCTTTCTCAGAGCCTGATTCTGATCTTAGTTAAGTTAACTTGCACCAGCCCCTCTAACTTCCAAGGAAGCAGGACATGGCTCTCCAGTAACTGCAAAGACAGTTTAAAAAAAGACAGATGTTTAAATTTGGGTTGGACAGAGGTGTAAAGTTATATCCTCACAAGAACTCTGCTCTGTTACTGTTAGTGTATTTCTTCCACCTGTAGAAACTTCTTTTCTTTTCTGTTTGCAGTTATATTTATGAACTGTCACTTGACAGAATAAGTATAAAATACAACAGGGCAAGGGCTGTCAAGGAGTGGGAAGTGAAAGCATACATAACAGAAAGTGCCTGAAGAAACTAAAGATTACTGTTGTAGTAGAGCCATTCCTGGTATGAAAGGTCCAAAGAACAAGCAAGCATATAGAGACACGATATGGGACTGGCTTTGTAGCTCTAGAAAAAAGGCAGAAAATGGCAATCACTTGGAGTACTAAAAACGGGAGAATGAATCAAAACATTTCATGAAAACGTGTCTCACTGTGAAGCAACAAGTCCATTCTAAGAAACGGCCACCAGGAGTACCAATAAAACTCCAGGGAGAAATTTTTATACCTTAGGGGTGTGGCCTGTTGTTTAACTTAACAAATCTTATATGCCTCTGTAAATAAACCTTCTCTGTTGCACTTGTTTACATATATATCCATGTACATATATAGCATGTTGCAGCAGAAGAAAGCATGGGTCGGGGGGCAGGGCTGGAGAGGGGGGAATGTACATGATTATTCTAATGCCTTAATGATTTGTAGCAATACATACTGGCCAGATATCTGGTGGAAATTAAGGTTGTGCTTGTGGCTGCCTGAGGATGTAGCAGGTACCCTGCTGCTAGAAATCATCCCTATTAGTTCATTTTTACATGAATTAAAACATTTATAAACCTAATTTGGCCAATGCATTTCCATTATTAAAATATATATGGGCATGTGTACAGATACATTTCCAGTACTATAGTATGTGTGTATATATACATATATCATGTGCATATATATTCCAGTATGTGTGTATATATATATACACATACATATTTTAACACTAGAAATGCATATACTTACATACTACATAAACACACGGAGCCTTATATCTATATATGCACACACAAATATATATATAAACATACACAATATTCCGTGAGGGGATCCTTCCTTGTTTTTCATTTATATCAGGCTGCCAACTCCAGCTCCGAAGGACTACTATTTACTTTATTAGCTTACTACTCACAGCTTTAGGATGAAACCTTCTTCTGTAAAATATCGAGTCGTTTCTATACTTTTGCTTTCAGTTTTTCTTCTGATCCCTCTTCTCCTAATGCCTCCAATTCAAAGACTCTCAGAAAATGTTTAGTGGATTTCCTTAATGGATCAAGTAATACAATGTATCATTTCCCTCAAGTGGAATGTCAGCTGAAATACGGTTTCAGAAGACATGAACTGCACAGCAGGACTCAGACCCAGTAAGGAGAGATGCCAACTCACTAGCTCATTAAAAACTATTAGGCAATAGAATAGAATGGTTAATAGAATCTGCTGTTCATATATTGTACCGAGTCAAATTTACGTATTATCTTCCCAACAAACAGTATGAATGAATTACTCTGGGAGCTTAATAGATTTAGGACATTTATGTCACTACGGGCAGGCTGTATCAATAGCTGGCTGTGCTGCATTTATGCAATACTTCTTTTTCTTGCTCCTTTTATTTCTGTCAGAAAAGGAGGGGCTACTACCTTGGGGTCTCTTCCAAATTGTCTTAATGTCAGATGCAAAGCCCTTGCAAAGACAGGCAATATCTTTGAGGGAAAAGGAGAGAGCCTGCATACTCACAGAGTCTGGATCGATCGGAGAGGTGCAAAGAGCCCCTTGCTGATGGTCTGCAGTTTGTTGTCATAAAGAGATAGCAGTTTGAGATTATGCAGACCTTGGAACGTGTTTACCCTCAGGCAGTTGATCTTATTGGCATTGAGAAGCCTGAAAACAGAGGAAAGGTTTATAATTCATTAATCTTGTAATAATCAAATAAAGATAGACTGAACTTCGGGGTTAAATCTAAAAAAATATTAACCCAGTCGCCAAAGCCAACCCACATTTAAAGGTCTTCATTTGCCTGTTACATTAAAAAGGTGAAAAAACCACAGTCAACATTAGTACTCTCATAGCTGGGGAATATACAGACATATAACAGTGCTAGCTATCTTAAAATACTTAAAAGTTTTTGGCTTTGTATGCCCAGCCCCCTCCTCTAATTTGTTCAAAATTCTACACAAATATTTAAAGAAGTATTCAGCTTAATATACATAGAAATGGCAAATACTCCCCACGTTGCTATTCCATGCACACACTCATACACAAAGTCCACAATGAGAAGAACCTTTCTTTTCAATTTTCTCTACCAGCAGCTGTCTTAAGTCTACTGAAATTCTGGAAGTTTGACATCCTTTGATAAGCAGTGCAGGGCTAATTTGATCATGGAAGGAAAGAAAACGTGATTCTCCTCAGAGACAAGAAAAGAGAAGCGTAGGGTCTGGACTAAAACTTACTGAAAGGCAAGCTCACTTCATACCTAAGGATAGTCAAGCAGTGTAACAGGTTGCTCGGAGTTGCGCAGTCTCCCCCACTAGAGGTTTTCAAGATGATACCGAATAAAGCCATGAGCAACCTGCTCTGACCTAATAAGGTGACTCTGCTTTGAGCAAGGGTTCTGCAGTCTGATTGGCTAGTGACCACCTGAGGTCCCTTCCAACCTCCATTTCCTACAACTCTATTAATCTACTCCGTTCCAGTTACACCAGATTCCTGTGCAGTTGTGGAAAAGCAGCACAATGGCAATTTACATATTTTTTTTTTTTATATTTTGCACATCTACATAGCAGCCAGTTGGCAGAACTAATCAGTTCAACCAGAAAATCTTGGACAGTACTTGTGCAAGTTCTCATAGATTATCCAGCCAGAGTTCTGTCATGTATAACGAGTATATACAATCCCAACAACAAGCTGGATCTCCCTCTGGGAAAATCAAACACGAGAGCACTTAAATTGTCATTGTCATCTGCATATGTGGTATTTTACACTCAGAAGGAAAATAGGCAGGAAATGACCTATTCTTCTTACAAAAGCAAAAATCTACATCTTTTGACTACTATCAGCCTGAGAAAAATGGTACATTGCAAACAATATATGCTGTTAACTCAGTTCTCTTGGTCACAAAATTCTTGCTACTTTGTCAATGAGTTTGAAGGGCTTAATATTGCAACGTTGCGGCTCTCTATGAGGCGCCACACTAATACTAAATCAGAAGACAAATGTGTTTGTAGGTAAAAAGGAAAAGACATCCTCCATTCCTCAGCAAGCAAATACACCATCTTAAACACACCTCTAGCAGCACAGGGAGCTTCCATTTTCAACAAACTGCACGTAAACCAGTATAGACAACATATGTTCATTTGTGAACAGATATGTTCAAATGCCACTTAGGCATTACAAATCCTTTGGTTTCTACTCCTTGTTCTTGTACACTGGTCCTACAGTGTTTTTAGGTAATGCACATTAGCTTAGATTGGTTGTCCCATGACAGAGGCTTGGCACCTAAGTTATACAGGAAGAAAACTGAAAGCAAGTATGTAGTTGGATTTATTTTGCTAGATGCTATTTGTTTTCTAATATTATAGTAGTATTTTATGTTGCTAGCAGTACTTCTAACAAGCATAAAGCAAAAATGAAAATAATCTCAGTAATAAGAGAATTTACAACTGAACTACAGTTGTATTCGTATATGTGGACAACCAGCATGTCTTTTTGTGATGCTTAAGAAGTGCAGACACAGCAGAGCTGCATTGTGCAGATGCTATTCACTCCTGTGCAAAGAGTGGGCTTGAAGTCTAACCATCATTGATCCCACTTAATAAACCCTCAAAGCAAAGCTGACCTAGAACTGCAGTGAATGCACAGGATTCGAATTTGTTCTCTGATGAGTTTCAACAAAACATGAATAAACCCAATGCTGGAAATTAGAATTTACAATGTGACAAGTTTTCCTGGCATGAATTTTCAATGACTAGATTCATGGTGATATAATCTTGCGACATTTCTGTAAGAGCCAAATACCAAAAATGAGAGAAACCAATCCTATATATAGCCACAAACACAGAGGCACACTCTCTCCTTTAAGCATCACAGAAAGTAATTTGGAACAGGAAAGTGCTTGTGCAGACTGTTTAGAAGCGGGAGTTCAGGTACTACATGGCTTTTCTGAGGTGACAACACCTGTTCTGCGTATCATCTACACAATATATTTGCAGTACCTAAATCTAAAGAGGATAGATAGTGTGCTCAACAGTAATACAGATGTGGCCATATTCAGTGGATCATGAGATAGATTAATGTTCTATTTCTGATCAGAATCAGTGAGAAAACGGGGGTGGGGGAATTGAAAAACTGTGAGAAAGCAAAATAAATCAACCCTAAAAATTTTTTCCTCCTACTTACTGTGAGTTAGAGGATCACTTTTGGCCAGAAGCATTAAGTTTATATTACTTTCAAAACTCTCTGTTATTTTAAAATATGCCCTGTATGGATATTCCCCTACGTAAATTCTAATTCTTTGCTTAATCTTTCTTCGCTGACACAGCCCCCCTCCTAATGGCATCTAATTATTAATTAGGTATATAAGGCTGGCCTTGCATGGAGTTAAAAGTGGCTATAAGTTTTTTTTTTTTTTTAAACTAACACAAAGGCAGATGAGAAAAACATTCTAGGAAGCAGAAACACTGATCTTCCTTACACACTGAACCATGCTGCAAAACATACTAAGGGTTCCTCTTCATTAGACTCACACCAAAAGAAGGGACAATATTAAAAGTTGAGTCTTATTTAAAAAGAATGGTATTTATTTTGCACCAATATATGGTGAAAGTAAATTCCACTAATTTTCCTATTTTGTTATCAGCTTGATTGGATGAGATTTACACACGGCCTCCAGATGTGGTGCAGCATTCAAAAGGAGGTTAAAAATTCAAGTAGAAATAAAACCGCCTGCTACCCAGAGGGATGATGGGTTATTAACTCAAGTCTCCATTTTCATCCCTCTGGATATGTTAAAACCACAAAGAAATCTCTTGCAAGCCTAGGACCACCACAGAATACAGGAGAATGGTTAAAGACCTTGTGGTTTACACACCATTGAAAGCAATGAGCAGAGCAGAGCAGTATTACAATCCCATGAATCCATTTCCTGAAAAAGTGAATTTGTCCACACACATTGAAATAATAACGTGTTTCAGCTAAGCCCTTTGAATGAATGTGTACTGAATTGGCACTGTAATTGTATCAGATGCTCATAAGCACCATCTGCATAATTAAGATGGTCCCATAATTGAATTATATGCCCAACCACAGTTTCAAGTGATTAACATTTAAATAACATTTTGAGCTCCAAACCCAAAATGATTGAAAAAATTGTTTTTTAAGAGCAAATGGGAATGTTTATATGCCTTTTACCCTTAGCAATGTTTGTATTTTCAGCTCAGTGAAGTCAAGTAATCAAACTATCAGCAAATAACTACGTAACGTGGAGAATGAAACAGCAGCCTAGCAACCTTAACACGTGCTGGAGACTGCAGGTTGATTTCTGTTGCTACAGGGTGGACCAGAAATCATCCTACATTAATGAACCAAAAGCAAAGTGTTGGGGAGAAAAGCTGCACAGAGCCACTGGAAAACTTCTCTTTCTTTTTCACTAGCTTTGTATTTTGACAGCGATGACAACATGATGAGAATGAAAATGTTCGGCATCCCATGAACTGGCTGGCACATCCCACATGCTAGACTCCACTGGGGAAAATGAGAACTCACCAGAAAAAGGCAGATGTAAAATGCATAGGAGACTTGTAAGGAAAAGGAGAACTGGGTAATAGTTTTGCATGGGTAACAGCAGAATACAAATTGGACATACATGACTTTTATAGAATATCAATAGCCAAAGGCTTCACCTACATTCAAAGGCACTATAGGGCAGAAGAAAGGAATCTTGGCAGAAAGCATTCTTTAGGATATACAACACCTGTCACAAAAAGTCAAAAAACTTTTTGGCATGTTTTTTTCAGCATTTTCTCTTGAAATTTAGAGGGAATCAAGCATCATCTTTGATTTAACACAACTTATCACGGGAGAACAGCTGAAATGCCAATATGGAAGTATCTAGTCAAGTACTCCGTCCTCCCAGCAGTCAATGACAAGCAACGTCTAATGACAGAATTGTGTGTGCCCCTGCTACTTATTGGCAAAATAATTATATTAGCTTTCAGGAACATATTAAAATGGCCTGGAGTGTAAGGGAGCAATCTGACTGCCTCTCACTGTGACAAGATATTTAGATATCTACTAAAATTTACATTTTCTAATGTGATGACTGACCACTGAAGAGTCTGTCAGTGCTTCAATTGATAATAACCACTGTGAAATCATCATCATGCTTGCTTGAACCAGCTTCAAGTGTTTCTCCATGTTCAGGAAACTGGATGATGGTGATGACAAATTTATTCAACGTAAATTAAAATGGAAAAGTCACGAGCTGATAATGAGTCAAGAAGGAAGCACAGAGCACAGTCTGACAGTCCTGTTTTGGAGAGATTGTAAAGGCCTCCTTTCATTCCTGATCCAAAAGACTGCAACTCCATTTAAACACCATCCATAAAACAATCCTGCGGTACTCGTGTTACTACCTAGAGAATTATAAGCATGTGTTGTTGTAGCATCTGGACTTCTGTTATTCAAAATTGAATATTGTCCAATTTACACCTGCAGATAAGGTCACAGCTGATTTTAGATAACCACATGATAATTCAGATGCACAGAAGAATAAACACATTTTCTCAACTTCCCACACCATCAGGGAGTTAGTTTCTTGTATAATAATAACTAGGAGAGTTTCTGTCAGGTGAGTCCAGCTTGGAGCACTGACGTCAGAAGAGCTA